ATAAATAAATAAAAAATAAATAAAACTTTGAAATAAGAAAAAAGTGCTAGGGATGAAGTTCATTGGCACAATGGACGGATAGCCTGTGTGAACACTGCAAAACCCAAAAACGATTACTAAGTAGATAATATGAGATCTTCTGTCAAATTTGACCATTTTTAAATGTTCAATTAAATATTTGGATAATTTGAGTAGCATAAACAATATCCATAGGATGGTCACCTAGAGTCATCAATTGTCAATATTTGTTACATTTGCTTTTTTCTCTCTCCCTCTACACGTTCACACACACACACACACATACACACACATTTGTGAGTTTATGACATTTCATTCCTAAATACATTCAGGAGGGGTGTATTCTATGAAATGCATCATCAGGAGGCTCTGTGGTTTGTCTGAACATCTAGAGGGTAGTTATGCAAGCCTGGATATGTAGCCTGCCCCGCAGCTACGCTCTATGGTACGTACCGCCGTGCATGCAGTTTCAGTATTGACTGAAACATGGTTACACGTACACAACTGTACTCAGGTTGTATGTCCTAGAAATAAGGACATTCTCTTACGTAACCTCAGTCATCAAACATGCAGTCCATATTGAAATTTCTGCAGTAAGAATATGCATTTTATAATATCATATATTTTTAATCACTTTTATAACATTCTTGCTTTCTTCCCTTTTTCATTCTCTCTTTTTCTTTGCCATATGTCTTTCAAGACCATTGCTGTGGGCCAAGGAGGCAGCTCAGTGGCATAAGCACTTGCCTGGCAAGTGCAAGGTCCTAAATTCGATCCCAGGTGGAAAAAAACCAAAAGAAAAATGAAAGATCTTTGCTGTGCTCTGGCTAGTTGCCTTTTGATTTACAGACTGTCTCACAATCTGGACTTGTTATTTCCTCAGATTAAATATTTTTTTGCTAGAAATAAGACATGAATGATACATATTTCCTATATGTACGTACGTACTTATGTTAAATTTTGTCACTTGGTTAAAGTAGTTTCCTTTGGATCTCTCCGTTGTAAGGGTTCAGCTGTAGGAAGAATTTTGGCCTTTTCATCTTCTCTGGTGCTGTTACACCCATGGATGTTACCTTATATGGTAAAAGGAAATTTGCAGAAGTAATTAAAATTAACAATCAGCAGACCTTAATAGAGTGAGAGTATCCTGGATGTAATCACAGGAGCCCTTAAAAGTAGAAGAGGAGGTGGATGTGGTGGCGTACGCTTGCAATCCCAGCACTCAGGAGGCTGAGGCAGGAGGATTGTCACAGGTTTGAGTCCAGTCTGGGCTATATAGTGAGTTCAAGGCCAGCCTCTACTACATAGACCCTGTCTCAAAATATAAACAGTAGAAGAGGAAGGCTGGGGGTGTAGTTCAGTGGTAGAACATGGCAGAGGCCCTGGGTTCCATCTCCAGTAAAACATACACACTTACATGTGTGCATACACATGTACATATACAAACACATACGGAAAGTGTAAGAAGGGAAATAACAAGTCAAGAGATTTCTATCAAGTGAGGAACGGATAAAAAAGTGTGGTATTTTTATACATTGGCGTAGTACTCAGCCATGAAGAAGGATAAACTGGAGATCTTTAGGGGGTAACTGGAGGCAACTTGAGTCAATACTCATAAATGAAATAAATCAGACTCACATGTGTAAATAACATTTTGTCTCCTTAGTATGAGAAGCTCAAAAAGTAAGATCCACAATGTAAAATAAATAGATACTGTAAAATGGGAAGAAATTATTCACAAGGAAAGAAACTGGTTGGGGTAAAAGAAGAAAGAAAAAAAGGAAAAGAAATATATATATATATATATATTAGTTAAGATAATTATACTACTAATTTCTCATAGTTCATTGAAAAGGTTTATGCTAATCCTGTTTTGATAACTAAATGCTAATATCGTGTACTCTGAATAACTATTTTTTTCTGAGTAACTAACCTAAAGTAACAATATGCAATGTATTCATCATTGTTGCTCTACTATTATCTTGTTTTGAAATTTTTTTTTCTTTAGAATAAAAGTTAAAGAAAAAAGAATAAAGGTTTTAAGAAGTCAGAGATTCAAAACAGGAGAAGGATTTGAAGCACAGTGGCTCGAAGAGGACACAAGGTCAAGGAAGCAGTGGTCTCAGCCTTACAGCTGCATGGAAGACAATTCAGAGAACAACTGAGGCAAGCTACGAAATGGAGTCACTCCAGGAGCATTGGAAAGAGTCCGGCCACACGGTGCCAGGCTTCTGAACTACATCAAATAGATGATAAATCTGTGTTGTTTTTAACAAGCAAGTTTATAGTAATTTTTATGGTAGAAATAGAAAATGAATACAGGTGACTTTCACATTGCAATTAATATATAATCTGTGTGGGAATTTATTGAGATCATATGAATTCTGGCTTTCTCAATGCCTGAGGATCATCTGTTGATTGTATTTGCTTGTACTAGTTATTACTTTGGTGAATGCAAAATGATTTTTTCTTCTATTCCCACCCAATGTATTTACTTTATTTATAGATTTATTGAGATATAATTAGCAACTAAAAATTATATCTATTTAAGGTGTACAACATGAGTTTTTTTCCAGCGCTGCAAATTGAATCCAGGGCCTCATGTACGCTGGGCAAACTCCACCATTGAGCTATATGCCAACCAGTGATTTTTTGTGTGTGTGACTGAGAATTGAACTCAGGACCTAGTTCATGCTAACCAAGTATTCTACCACTGAACTATATCCTCAGCCCTAAAATATGGAAAGCTTCAGAAATCTGCATGGCATTCTTCAGCAGGGGCCATGCTAATCGTCTCTGTATTGTTCGAATTTTAGTGTATATACTGCAGAAGTAAACACCATGATGGTTTTATATACATGTATATTGATACTTAGTATACCAAATTGCAATTACAAAATACTAGAATATCCAGTGTTATTAGGCTTATCAAGCATAATAAAGCATTATCAACTATAGTTACCATGCTGTATTTTAGATTTCTGTAACTTATTTATCCTGTATGACTGAAACTGTGTACCCCTTTGCCAACATTTAGACAAATTTATAGAGCTGCAGAGTAGATTTGTGGTTGCCTAGGGCTGGAGTAAGTGGGTTGGGAGGAAATGGGAAGTGGCTGGAATGCTGTATAGGGTTTGTTTTGGAGATGAAAAATGTTCTCAAATTGATTGTAGTAATGGATGCACAACTCTTTCTGTATCCTGATGGGGGCTGGTTGCTAGGGGAACAGACCTTGTGATTAGAGGGTTTTCAAGAGGCATTGTTTACATATTGGGTAATACATATCAGACACCTGTTACTCCTAGAGGGCAGCATCCAGTTCTTCATCCTTATCTTTTGCTGCTTCCTAACACCACTTCATTTGCTAGGCTGGTTTCCACTTTATTTCTTAACTGTATTTCCTATATCTCAAGGCTGAGCTTTAAGGGCCTGCCCCACCTCCTTCCGGAGCTCCTTACAAATCAAGAGGCCTTTCTCTAGTTCAGTCAGTAGTACCTTCTTTGCCTGACATTTGCTTACCAATTTGTCAGTTCATCTCACAATCTAAACAAGCATTGAATCTAAGTAATCAGATCATTATAATACATACCAATATGTTATTTTGAATATGTTCCAAGTTTTCATTATGTGTTTCCCATGTTCCAAGAAAGAAGACTTGGCTTCATAATCTTACCTCAGCATCACAACAACCCTATGAAATGTGTCTATTATATCCAAAAGCTGAGACTCAGAGACGTTAGGTAATTTGCTCAATGCCACAGTGACTGAACCAGGAATTTAAATTCCAAACACTGCATTCCTGACCCATTTCAACTGCATTGTATGCTACTAGAGGTAGGTACATCATCATTGCCCAAAAAATATATCTTTGAAAAAATTTGGGGGGTTGTGCCAGAGATTGAACTAGAGCCTCATTTATGGCAGAAGAGAGCTCTGACACTGAGTGACAGACTAAGCCCCAAACATTTATTTAATGTCTAGGTGGAGCTTCAGCTAGCTGAAAATGCCAGTTACTTCCAAGAGGATTTACATGTTTGATTCGTGGGCGATATATTTACAAAGGATCATTAAAGGAAACAAAAATATTTGGGTCCATACTTAACCTTCAAGATAGCCTTGTGGAAGAGAATCACACCTTCATGAGCTTTACTGATTACTCTCTTATGAATATGAGCAGACTGGGTCACATGGGTTAGGGATCTGACTCACTGTGACAAATCTTCCTTTCTCCAGCCCCTGTTTGCTAGCTTACAAAAGGTTTCAGCTTCTTCCTGTTTACCTTTGCTTGAAGCCATTCCTCCCCTTCTTGTGCATTTGAATGGGGTTCTAGTACCTGTGGGAGGTAGGTTTTCAATTCCAATTGTTAACCGGACAGGTTTTATCCGGAAGGTGATTGACAACAATTATAGTGTTGTCAGACAGACAAGTTAGGCCTCTGAGCCTCAGCTTACTCATCAGTAGAATGGAACTAAAGGAGCTGGGGATGTAGGCTGATAATAGAGCACTAACCCAGCATGCAGGAAACCAAGAGTTTGATTCCCAGAAGTGGAGGGAAGAAGAGAGAGGAGGAATTAAACTCCTTCATCCAATATGTTAATATTGTCAGATTTTCAAAATTTTTATTCATATCTAGCTGGAAATACATTATGGAGAGATCGAGGCCTAGAAATCTAGATGAGTTTAGTTATTTATGTACAGGTGGTTTCAAGTCATTTTTCGTTCTCTTGCTGTCTGTCTTAGAAACATCCACAGTTGAGTGTGAGAGCTGAGGGGTCCAGGTCAGATGGCTGTTCGAAATTTGTTATGGTCCCTAGGAAAGATTTTGGAAATGGGGAGACCTCACGAAGAAAAGAAAGCCAAGGAGGACTGAGGGAGAGGGAGGTGGACACAAGGGGTGCTGTTTCCCCCTCCTCTATTCACACACAAATCCCCTCTATCTCCGCCCCGTCTCCCTCTCTCCCAGAGTCTCTGATTCTGACTGACAAGGCTCAAGGGTAAAAAAATCCCATGGGGTCTCCAGCCGGAAGCCTTATTGTCCTGCTCTAACGCCCAGCGAGGAAAATTCGAAAAGGCCGTTCCCCCCTGCCGCCTTCACTAACCGCCACGCCAGGCTTGCTGTGGCTGGTGAGAAGCAGTTTCAGGCCCAACGCCATATACCTTTTGCAAAGCTGAGAAGTGTGTGTCTCGTGTGTGTGTGTTGTGTCTCTGGTGTGTGTGTGTTGTGTGTGTGTGTAGGGAGGAGGAATGGGGGTAGGATCCCATGACGTTGCAGGCTCCGCCTCCTGGTGAATATAAGGGGCGCTTGGCGCGTAACGACCCCAAGCAGCTGCTTTGAAGCTTGAGCTCCGGAGCTCGGCATCCCTCACCCAACTCGCTTAAGTCTGCCTCCAAGCTGGATCCGAGATTCTCTGCTTCCAGGCTGGCCACCTTTCTAAGGTAAGCCTTCGGGGCCAGCACGTGTGTCGGGGAGAGGGGGAACAGCAGGTCCTGGCATAGCTAGGATTCTCCGGCAACCATGGCATGCAGTTGCATCAACGCGGCCGTGACCTGTTGCTGGCAAGACCTGGGCCCCGGGAGCCAAGGGTACCATCGCCACCCCAGGCCCAGTTCATTCCTAAATGGTGGCATAAAAACCTGGGAACTGGGTTAGAGAGCACAGGGCGGGACCCCTCATTTCAGCGAGGGGGGGGGGAAGCAATCTCAGGCTGCTCTGGGGCCCCTCTCCGGGCACGTCTCCATATCTTAGATGTGGAAGCAACGCCTCGCTGTTGATGCTCGCAGGTCAACCTAGCCAGCGGAGGAAGTAGGGGGAACATTTGCTTACTGCCCTGGGCAAACGCTGCGCCACTTGCGCTGTGTGGGCTTGATGAGGAAAGGTGCAACTGCGCTGATTTTCACTTTTTATCTGTAACAGAGATTGGGTCCCTCTCCTGGGCATCTCTTTTGAGTCGTGGGATTAAGCTCTGAAAAGAACCTCAGGGATATTGGCTGTGGGAAGAGGGGGGGGGGTCCTCCCAGATTTGCTGGCTTCTTCGGAGTTGAGCTCTACTTAATTCCCAAGAAGCTACAGGTCGGGGAACAATCACACTGGGTTTCAAGGTAACTGGGTTGGGGTCTCGGATAAATCCTATAGGTTCCTGAGCAGGAAAAGAACAAACCTAACCTTATCTGAGCACTTACTAGGTGCCAACCACTATACTTCGAGGGGCTTTCACATGCCTTTTTGGAAGTGATTCCTTTCACAAACCTCGTGAGGTACTGTAGCTCCTACTTGCATTATTGTAATTCCTAATTGCATATGAAGAAACTGAGGTTAGAGGTAAAGTGACTTGCCTTTGTCCCCTCAACTCTCCCCTCCCCTTTCCCATTTAGCTCTTTGCTTGGTGGAGTGGGTAGTAGTGGATCTCCTAATTCACTTGTAGACTACAATGGTGGGCCCCATTGAAGTGTTCTTGTTTGGTTTTTCACCAGATCATCGTCTTCAATTCCAAGTAGAATGCTGTGGCAGGCACTTCGGAGATTTGGGCATAAGCTGGTTCGGAGACGAATGCTGGAGCCAGATGTGGCTGAGACCCGCCTTGCCAGATGCCTCAGCACACTGGACTTGGTGGCCCTGGGTGTGGGCAGCACACTGGGAGCAGGCGTGTATGTCCTGGCTGGTGAGGTGGCCAAAGATAAGGCAGGTCCCTCCATCGTGATATGCTTTCTGGTGGCTGCTCTGTCCTCTGTGCTGGCGGGGCTGTGCTACGCGGAGTTCGGTGCCCGTGTTCCCCGTTCTGGCTCTGCATATCTCTACAGCTATGTCACTGTTGGTGAACTCTGGGCCTTCACCACTGGCTGGAACCTCATCCTCTCCTATGTCATTGGTAAGAAAGTGGGGCAGGGAGGGAATTGCAGAGCCAGGAAGGGGCTTTGGGCCAGGAAACCTGGGTGGAATAGTGAAGCTGAACTATTACTATTCACAGGATCTCCATCCATGTAAATGATTGTGTGGACATGGGAGGGTTGAAAGTACAAAGAAACTGTGTACTATACTCACCTCTGTCTGGGTTCCCTTCAGTAAGAGACTGGTGTTGGTTCTTTAAAAATTAAGAGTAAAGCTGAAGGTGTGGTTTGATGGAGCATTGTACCTGAGGCCCTGTGTTGATCTCCAACACCAAAACAAAACAAAAAACCCCAAAACAAACAAAAAAAATCAACAAACTCCCAAACCAGCCAACCAAACAAGCAAAACTTAAGGATGAGTGGCAATGGGTGATACTGACAGGGATTTGTGCGAGACCGGTGTGGAAGAGGGAGGGAACTTGACTCATGTTTCTCCCTCTGCCTGCCTAGGTACAGCCAGTGTGGCCCGAGCCTGGAGCTCTGCTTTTGACAACCTGATTGGGAATCACATCTCTCATGCTCTGAAGGGGACCATTTCACTGCACGTGCCCCATGTGCTGGCCGAATATCCAGACTTCTTTGCTATGGGCCTTGTGTTGCTACTCACTGGTAAGGCAAGATGCAGGGTAGAATGGAGGGGGGCACTAGGCTCAGGGCCACGGACAGAGATGGCAGCTGAGCCTGGAAAGAGCTTGATGGAGGCGCTAATGATGGAGAGCAGAAGCTGAGAAGGAAGAGGTCTGCCCTGCAGAGCCAGGGAAATAAAGCCAAGCTTGTGTAGAGGACTTACTTTCTCAGTGTTGTCAATGAATTTTTCTCACAGGATTGCTGGCTCTGGGGGCTAGTGAGTCAGCCCTGGTTACCAAAGTGTTCACAGTGGTGAACCTTTTGGTTCTCGGCTTTGTCATCATCTCTGGCTTCATTAAGGGAGACCTGCACAACTGGAAGCTC